CAACAACTGTCTAATTGGACCTAAAGGCCATTCAATAGGAGGGAAGTCAGGCCTGGTACTATAAATCCAACCAAGAGCCCATGGCTGGAGATGTCATAGGCCTTAGAGGGCCACCTAGCACCAGCACGTTACTAAAACCATAAAGATTCATCCTTTTGCCTACAGATATGTACAGCCCTGACAACTCATCAAAGAAATTTCTTTCTTTGGAGAAAACTCTCCAACTGATCAAAGTGCAGAGAATAAATGACTGTTGGGTGCCCAGTCCCAAATGGGACAGTACGACACACCCCAGACAGAAGGCTCAGGGAACATTGAGGAAGCAGGGGCAGAAAGATGGCAAAGACCCGAGGACCGGGACAACTGCTGTGAGACAGTTTCTTCTGGACAGGACATGTTGCCCATAAGAACTCTCAACAATATGGCTGCCTGCATGAGACCTGCAAAGACCACACCAGTCAACGTGTCAGCGGGGATGGAAGAAGCTCTCACAAAGCCCCACCCCTAGATGAAATGCCACTTCTATGTTGACCTCCTACCAGTCATTCCCTTTCAAAAGAGGAGCCAGGCAGCCCCGTGCCATGCCAGCGCTGGGAGCCTTGTGACTACTGCTTACAATAGACCCAGACTTCTTCCCCTCTTTCATCCCCCTTCAAGCCAAGCATGCCTGTATTTCAAAGTCAAGTGTGTGCTGTTGATGAAGTGACAGTTTGATTTGTGACTATTCTGTCATGCTGTGAAGTTAATTTACTCTAAACAATTCATAGACGTGTTTGAAGTGCTCAGACGCTCATAATTACTGTTTAGCAGATTGGATGTCTCTGTGCAGATCATTAAATATGTGTACGGAGTTAAGTAGTGGGTGGGTGATGGTTGGATAGCTCGTTCATGTGGTGCTGAGGTTTCAGCCTAGGGCCCCATGAGTGTTAGGCAAGACTCTACCCCAAGCCCTTTTTCCTCTTTTTATTTTGAAACAGGGTTATAGTTAGTTATCCAGGCAGGCCTTGAACTTAAGTTTCCCTCAAGTAGCTGGAGTTATAGGCCTGCACCAACAGATCTGCTTAAACTGACATTTTTAAAGTATTCGCATTTGAGGTGGATATTTTACTTATTAAGAATGTCTGGCTTTTCAGATGGTAAGGATTATCTATCATAGTTATCCTAATAGTGGCAGATAGTGAGAATACAGAGAATTGAATGGGCATGGGCCAAGTGCCTCTGCTGGGAGGTGGGGATGGGTGTTGCCATGTCTAGAGCTAGTAGGCAGAGAGTGCAGCGTAGGGCCCACCTGATGGAGCTTTGGGGCTGGTGACTCTGTGACTTAGTCCTGAGGGACACTGGAAGGGTGTGTTGTGGCCTCACAGCACCAGCCCCATGGACTCACCTTTTACTTCTTACACCCCAGAAGGCATCTGGAAAATGATGTGATGGGCTGTCCACATTGATGAGTTTGGGCTGTCAACCAACTTTCTAGATGAAAGAAGCTCCCAGATGATTCCTATACCATGGCATGTAATAGGATGGAGTTTGGGTTTATAGACCAGTGTGCAAATTTCTACTTCACCTCTGAGCTGCCATTTTCTTTAAGACCAATTTAAATGCGATGTGCATTTTGGCCAGGGCCCTGTCTTTGGATGCTATGAGGACTAAATAAGTGAGCTAACCAGCTAGCACTAACTAACTAGAGTCACTTGGGAAAAGAGACCCTCAACTGAGAAGTCACCTCCATCAGACTGACTTGTGGGTCTGTCTGGGCAGCATTTTCTTGTTCTCTAATCCCTGAAGGAGGGACTAGCCCGCTGTGGGCAGTGCCACCCCAGGCAGATGCTCCTAAATTGTGTAGGAAAGGTGGTTGAACATGAACTTGTTGGAAGCAAGCCAGTAAATGTCTCTCCTCTTTGGTTCCTGCCTCTGCTCCTGCTTGAGTTCCTGCCCCAACTTCCCTCAGCGGTGGCTACGGTGGGGGAATTGAAGCCAAATAAGCCCTCTCCCCCTGAGTTGTCTTTAGTCATATTTACTACAGCGACAGGAGATAAACTAGGATAATGAGCTAGTCCAATCTGAGGGCTTAGCTCACTGCCTGCATGTCAGACACACTCGATCGATTGAGTGCCAGCTATTGTTCTTGTCATTATGAAGCCTTGTTACCCACTTTGAGAACGAAATACAAACCTTCAAACTCAACAAATGCATGGCACATGCTCACCATCCTAGATCATATGCACACCTACACCTATTAACCAGTGGCAGCCAATGAACCATAACAATCCATAAAGGAGCTGCCACTAACCCAAATTTGCAGAAGAAATGGAAGTATAGACAGGTTAGAAACTGTCCAGAACTGTTAGAAGTCAGTCTCAGAAGCCCTTGAGCTGAGGTCTGTGCCCTTTCCTGCCTTGTACTTGACATGCTGTCCTTGTGACATTTGCATTGTTCTGTCCCCCTGGGTGGCAGTGTGGACATTAAATATTTGTGAGAAGTCAACTGCAGAAGCAAAAAGAATCAGAATCCCAAAGCCTGTCACATACATCACATAGTGTTGCAGATTTCTGCACCCATCATGGAGGCCAGCCTGAGATTCTCCATCTCTGAAAGCTAGTGGGGCAGAAATTCCAAGGCTCAGCAGCATTGGCACCTAAGAAAGTGCCTTAACTGGCCACTGTGGTGAGGTTGCCAGTGGTCTAGTCTCCAGGTTTGCTGAGATCATGAGTGGTGAGTGGAAGCGAGAGAAGAGACAAGGAGGATTGACATAGTCCTCCTGGGCGGTCACATGCTAATCTTTACTGGTTGTCTTAGCTTTGAAGGCATCTTGGAGAGCAGTTGAAGTTGGCTGCACTACACGCCAAGGGGTGATGCACAGAGACCACATCAGCCTCCTAACTTCCACACAGTCATTTCCGCAGGCGATGTCTACATGGGATCAGGAAGCTCTGCCTGCAAATTCCTAGGAGGCTTGGCTGCAGAGGACTCAGGCAGGGCAGGCTTAGCCTTTTCTGCTCCTTGCCTCCCAGAGGCTGCGCTCAGTTTAAGAGCCAGGTGCAAGCCTTGCCTCTGGGGCTCAAGCCAGCAGCTCTTTTATTGGAGCCTGTTTCTCTGTTAAGCTCCCGGCGGCATCGGAGCATATCCCTTGGGAAGTAGACTCTACCAGGTGATTCCACTGGGATGGGACTCAGGGCCTTGTTGCTGCTGTGACTGATAAAAGAATGTACCCTGGTTGCTCACAGCTGCTACCCATGCCACAGGGCAGAGCCATCCTGAGATATTCAGCAGTAGCACCTTCCAATGTTGTGGGTTCAGGACCCTTGAGAAATTCCCAGCAGCAAACTAAAGAAAACGATGTGCAGTTTCCAGGCCTGGGTGGGAGGGAAGAATTGTGACTTTCTGTGCGATAGCTGGAACCTCATTGGTGGGGTAGACAGTTCTGCAGTCCCTGCTTGGAATGTCAATCTGTTTAGCCAAATGTTTGTGTGGGGATGATGTGGGGAGCATCCCTCTCCTGGCTGCGAGAGCAGTTATGAAAGATTTACTGCCTAATAGGCTTTCAGCCAGGAAGCTGGGAGATGGCACAATTGCTTTTGTTTTGCAAAGAATCCCCCGGGGCCTCCTCTGTACCCATGATGAGCACGTGTACCTCAGCATGTAGAGTGCTGATTAGCCAGGGGCCTGCTGCTCAGCTTGGTCTAGGAAATGCTGCTGTGTGTGACCTTGTGCCCTTGGGACTCCTTCCTGGAGTTATGTGTTTGGAATAACTTTTCCCCTCTCTCATTATTCAGACCCACAACCGCAGTGAAGAGATTGACTCTCATGCTGTCCCCCCTGCCCCCTGCCCCCGTTTGCTCAAGCTGCTCTTCCTGCCTGGCTTGTCTTTTCCATCTTTGCTTTGCAAAAATCCTGCCCATCCTTCAAGATTCAATTCAAATATTAATGCTTCACTAATCCTTGCCCTAGAAATTGATCTCTATTTTTCTCTCAAGCTCTGTTATCATTTTCTATGCCCATCACGGCCCTTATCTAATTCTGCCTTGCACAATAAATATTTATGTGTAGGCTTTTTCCCACTCCCACTTACGTCATAACTTTGTGTTGTACAAATGTCTTGCCTGTCCTGAATGAAGTTTTCCAAAAACTTAAACTGTTCATGTATGAAGTCCATATTTATTGAACAGGAGCAAACAAGTCAGTGAGGATTTGGGGTGTACATAAGAGGAAATAATTAAAATGAAGCTTGGAAGAAGTCACATAAACCAACATCAGACAGTAATCAAAGCAGGCCAGTCTTGGTATCTCTTGATCCTTGGATTATGTGCAATTGTGAAGTGTAGCCTGAAGGTTTCTCCAGTCCTGCCGGTCCTGCGGTCAGGATGAATCTCTCCCTCCCAAGTCCCACAGCTGCTTGGTCCCAAGTAAACACACAGAGGCTTACATTATTTACAGACTATATGGCCTATGGGTCAGGCTTCTTGCTCGATAGCTCTTATATCTTAAATTAACCCATTCTATTAATCTATGCATTGCCACATGGCTTTGTGGCTTACCAGTACTTTCACATGTTGCTTCTCCTGGTGGTGGCTTCCAGCTTCTCCCCAGACTCCGCCTTTTTCCTTCCTGTCTCTCTCGGATTTCTCCACCTGCCTCTAAGCTGCCTTGCCATAAACCAAATCAGCTTATTTGTTAACCAATGGGAACAACATATACTCACAGTGTACAGGAAAACATCCCCCAACAGTAAAGGATTTTTCTAAAAGAGTAATTGCCACTTGAAATCATGGTGAAATGCTCAGTACAGGAATTAGTTTATCTCAGGATGCTTGAGAGATCTGGGTGACAGATGCAGAGCTCCACCTGGCTTGGGTTTTCTTTCAGTCCCCACCAGCCTTGGGAAATAGCGTGCAGCACAAACACACACAGCTGTTTTATTTCCCACTTGTTTATTTGAGTGGTGATAGAAATTAAATTTCCCTGAAGGTGCTAACCCTGTTCTCATTTTTTTTTTATCTCAGCCCTGGACCCATCCAAGGACCCTTGCCTGAAGGTTAAATGCAGCCCTCACAAAGTGTGTGTGACCCAGGACTACCAGACAGCCCTGTGTGTCAGTCGCAAGCACCTGCTGCCCAGGTAAGGTGGGGAAGAGGTGGCTAGAAGTTAGGGGTGCTCTGCAGCTAATAGATCTAAAACATCCAGGCTCTGACTGGAAGCAGGTTGGACCAAAGGAGAGCAGTGTGTTTGCCACCATTTTAAACGGTGTCAGGTGCCTATTCTTAGGTGATGGTATGGGTCTCAGATTGCAAGCACAGGTTTACAAAAAACCAGTAATCTTTTTAATTATTACTTTAGTGTATGTGGGGGTGTGTTGTCTGCATATATGTCTGTTGTGTGTTCCTGGTGCCCACAGAGGTCAGAAGAAGGCATTGTGTCCCTTGGAACTGGAATTATAGATGTAGGTGCTAAGAATTGAACCCAGGTCCTCTAGAGGAGCAGCCAGTGCTCTTAACTGGTGGGCCATCTCACCAGCTCTAAGAACAGAAACCTTAAGTTTAAAATAAAATCTTAATTTTGACTCCGAGCCCTCTGAACAGAAAAGCCCCTTTCGTCATCATGGGAGCCCTTCCTCTTTAAGTGACCCTGGTGCCCAGGAAGGTTGCAGCCAAGAAAGCAGGAAGGTGTGGTGATATTGTGTTCCCCAATATATTGTGCACCCTAATAAACTTATCCGGGGTCAGGGAACAGAACAGCCACTAGATAGACACAGAGGCCAGAAAATGGTGGCATTCATACCTTTAATCCTAGCATTCCAGAGGCAGAGATCCATCTGGATCTCTGAGTTCAAAGCCACACTGGAAACAGCCAGGCATGGTGACACACACTTTTAATTTCAGGAAGTGATGGCAGAAAGCAGAAAGGTATATAAGGCGTGAGGACCAGGAACTAGAGCTGGTTAAGCTTTTAGGCTTTTGAGCAGCAGTTCAGCTGAGATCCATTTGGATGAGGACTCAGAGGCTTCCAGTCTGAGGAAACAGGATCAGCTGAGGAACTGTTGAGGTGAGGAAGCTGTGGCTTGTTCTGCTTCTCTGATCTTCCAGCATTTACCCCGATATCTGGCCCCAAGTTTTTTTATTAATAAGACCTTTTAAGATTCATGACCCTTCATTCCTAGAGTTGCCACTGACAGTCTGAACATGATGAAGCAGCCTTTGAGAAACTGGAACCTCCTACAGCATTGGTTTTTATTAGCTCCAGCGTGACACCCTAGGACCCTGCAGAATGGGTGCTTTCCCTCTCCAGTTCTTGACGTTAGCCATTGGCATTGGCCCTTTGGCTCATCTTCCAGGGATGTGTTGTGATTGTCTTCTCCCTTCTAAGTGGCTTCCTCTGAATTTTGCTGGGGTAATGCCTCTCCCCTGACATCAGTGCTGGCAGCAAAACAGAGTTGCTCATTGGAGTGACGCTCTGCCTCTGTCTTCCCTAAGTCTGATGCCACAGACCTGGCCACCGGGATCCTTTGCTGGGGATTGCTTTTAGTGTTGTTTTAAGTGCAAAGTACTGAGATGTGTGGGGCTGTTTTCTAGGCCGGTGCTTCTTCCTGGGAGTTAGATGGGTCCGGCCCTGCTACCCAGGAGTGGTGCTCAGCAGTTGCCTTCAGTTCCTCCAGGCAGTTTTCAAAACGGATGATTTTTTTTTTTGTCTCTATTCTGCAAGGGAAAGAGTTGAAGCAGAAAGAGGCATCAATGATTTGCACACAAATATTTAAAATTCTTTCAACTAATGTAATATTTATATTTTTATTTTTAGAGTTTCATACACTATATTTTGATCATATTTTCCCCTACCCCAAATCCTCCCAGATCCTCTCTCACCTCCTTACCCACCCAACTTCATACTCTTTAAATAAAAAAAATAAAAAAAAAATAAGACAAAAAATAAAGAAAGCACAGACAAAAAATTCTGGAGCCTGTTTTGTGTTGGCTAACTACTCCTGAGTGTGGAGCCTGCCCTGGAGTGTGGTTGATACACCTTTGTGGTCACTCCATTGAAGAAAACTGATTTCCCCCTCCCAGCAGCCATCAAGGACAAATAGCTTCTTGGCTTGAGGCATGGCTTGTGCCCACCTCCTCTTCTCTGTGTTGGGATTTTGTCTGCTGTAAATGTATGCAGGTCATTACTGAGTGGGATGTAAAAATAATTTTGTTGTTATCATTTGAAGCTCCTTTTCAGGTATCTATACTCCAAGAAAACCATTCCAGTCCTCTTACCATGTGATTTCTGCCTTTTAGGATAGAAGGAAATGAGCCCTCTTTAGTGGCAAGGAACAGAATGCCCTTAGGGATAATGTCCAAGGTGGTTCAACCATTTGGTCTCCTGTATATGTGTATGCACATATGTGTGTGTACACACATGGATGTGTGTTTTGGAGCATCCTTCACATGCTTTTCCCTAAAATTCGAAGAAATATCAAATGAGAGGTTTTTAGTTTAAAATTCAAATGTGTTTGAGACCAAAGTAGTCACCTCCTTGGTGCTCATACATATCCAGGCATAAATTGTATTGTATTGGGCGTGCCACACTTCTGAGCCTCATTCTCCGCTTATGTGGACAGTATAGACCCTAACTCCTCCATCCATAAAATGATAATAGCTTTGGGTTTAGGAATGAGACTAAAGTGGGTTCAATTTCTTGGTGGGTCCTCTGTGCCTGTGTAAATTTGATAAATACATTTGTGTGTCTAAATTTGTATTTCTTCATCTGTTAAATGGATTTAATGTGAAGACACAGCGTATTTTGTGTGAATGTTCAATGTAGGGGATGGTGTATAATGATGGCTTAATGTCAGACTATACCAGCTATTCTGACAATTAGCAAAACAACCATTATAATAGTTATTTTCTGAGTAATTCTGGAAGATCAACCAGAACTCTCCCTCCCAACTGCATATGTTCCTAAGAAAGAAGCAACTCCTGTTTCCCAGGCCGAGTGTGCTGCCTCTTAGCCTTTGAGCTGGATCTCAAGGACTGTGGTGACATTTCTGCTGCCCCTTTGTGATTTCAACAGGGAAGACAAAGGAAATACCTGCATTTCTGATAATGGGGTCTGTTCATTACTAGAAAAATAGGTCAAGAATGTACTTTGGCTATGATGGTACCCCCTCTTCCTTAGCAGGAAAGGGGGGTGTGTGTGACCCAGCCCAAGGGGGCCTGTGGTGTGGTCACTGTGGTTGTACTCACAAGTCTCTTTCTCAGAAGTGGGATTTCTCAGCCCTCGGTAGTAGCCATGTGTAACTCCTTGGAGGGTCTTGGATGCCTTCCCAGAGGAAGCATCTGTCCTTCCACATTAAACTTCAGGGGTCCCCTAGAGAAGGGATAGCATACTGACAGCTCTATTTATTCATCTATCGGAGAAGTGCTTCTTCATTCTGCAAAACATCTGTGGAGAATCCTGCTAGCCAAGCTGGCCTCTTGCAGCTCAAAGGGAAAATCTTGCTCTAGACGTTGAGAAGCTGCTGACAGATCAGGAGGCTGCTGGGAGGCCTCGGCTGATGAGGAGGCCCTGATGTAGGCTGACTTGCAAGTGGATTAGGGAGCAAGACTGGGGAGTGCCCAGCAAGGGGATGCTGTGGGGCCGGATGGTCCATGGAGCTCATGGGGGTGGAGAAGCTCCTGGGAGCACAGGTCTGTGGCCACAGTGTTTCAGGGCTGACCAAACAATTCAGAGGGGTGGTGGAAAGGGAGGCAGACAATTGGGCCTTCCTCCCCTGGAGTCTTCCTCAACCCTTTGAGGAGGAGATGTGTAGGGTTTCATCTGGAGGCTCCTGTTACATTTACGTCCTTCTTAGAGAATTCTTGTGGAAATTCTTTCACATCTTCCTTCTGTTAAGCAGTGCTCGCGGGTGTGGGAGGAGGTACATTCTCGGCCATATGCTCCTTCTTCACAGTCTCCATGGCATCACTTTTGTGTGCCACAGAGTAGTGGATGTGGTCAGAATGGCTTCTCTTTGGTGACTTAAAAATTCTTAGTCTACTTTTGGTATGATAGTTGATGCTTATTGTAGAAAATATTTTTAAATTATAAAAATAAATAGGAAGTATGTAGTGGCCACATTATTTAAATTTAAATATTTAAATTATTTCAGCAAGTTCTGTCTAGCTTTCTAGTTTTTCTTTTCTTGTTTTTGTTAAGATTTATTTATTTTATGCATACTAGTATTTTGCCTGCATGTATGTGTGTGTGTGTGTGTGTGTGTGTGTGTGTGTGTGTGTGTGTGCCCCACATGTGCCTGATGTCCTCAGAGATCAGAAGAGGGCACTGGATCCCTGGAGCTGGAGCATTTATAGAGGTATTTATGAGCTGTCATGGGGGCCTGTGGAAGACCAGCCAGTGCTGTGAGCGGCTGAGCACCTCTTCAGCCTCTTTTTTGCTTATTGACTTGTTCTTGATAAAACTTATTTAGCAAATGGCCTATATAATATAATTTTGTGTTGATCCTTATACATGAATACTTTATGGTACTATAAACTATGCTTAAAATTTTAATGATTACATAACATGCTGTATGAAAATTTCCCTTGAGAGATGGGTCACATTTGTAAACACACACCCTAAGTCTGTAAGACTTCCAGAAGAAAAGAATGTGGCATTTCTGTCCTTGGGTTTGATTAAGACTCCCTAATTGTGACATAGCAAATGAGATTTTACCCAAATTGAAGATGTCTGATGTTCTGTAGATACTCTTCCAACTTTTTTTAAATGTCCAGCCATGCTGGGAGGAAATAGTTCAAAAGATTTGCTTGGTATATATATGTTTAAAGTACTCTCATGTGTGTTTATATCAGCTTCATTTAGAATTTCACATATACATACACAACACACACACACACACACACACACACACACACACACCCCACACACAGGAGAACTCAAGGTGAACTGATCAACCAACTGTGGCCTAACCATTATAGTTGATACTACACAGCAACAAACACAAATATAAGCTGTTAGTATACCAAATAATAAAAAACTAACCAAATAACAAAAAGGATCAGACTCAAATAAGTATGGAGTGTGTCGTCTCCATTTCCTCCCTTCTGGGGCCAAGCCTATTATAAGGGGCACAGACTTCATGT